AGAGTGTTACATGGAGCTGGATAGGAAGGGGCAGAACTGGGCCACCAACCCATGTTTCCCAATGTCCCACCCATTCCTGGACCTCATGACTTGTTCCTGTGATAGTTTCATGCAGTGAGTTTTTATTCCAATTCGGGGGATTTCCTAAATTACTATACTGTCATCTTGTTAGAGATTTATTTCAAAACAGTTCCCATTTCCTACAGGGAAGGCAGCATAGTGCACTGGAATGAAAAATACTGTGTTCCAGACACATTATTTTAACTTCTCTGAGCTCCAGTCTCCTCAACTATCAAATAGTGGTAGTAATCTTTTCAAATGTCAAGTATCTAGGCTTTTGTGGAATGTGTAGGCCTTAATATGTATTAATTCTTCCTCCTTAGTTCCCCAATTATCAGGCCTTAGCTTTCTGTACCTCTTTGATCTGCCTTCTCATATGAGGTACATGAAGAATTTAGAGCATTAAAGTGTTTGCCCAGCAAGATGTATTTTCATACTCAAGGATTTCAGTATGTTTCTTAATCTCATAAAAACTCAGGAATCGTTTGCAGGGATTAAATTTAAAACTGCCTTTGTTTTCCATCTTTTTATTTTGTATTCTTTCTGCTATACTACCTTCCTAAGTTTTTGGAAAACTGGATGTGGGATATATAAACTTCTACTTAGTATCTCCCTTTCTTGATCTGGCTGTGGCAAGTAAGGGTGTGAGGAGGGGGCAATGCCAGAATGAAGGCTTGATTATTTTTTTCTACTTGACATACCTCTTGATTTCCCTGTTGCCCTTATGCTCTCAGAGCAGTAAGAGAAACCACTTATATATCCTGAGTTGCCTTGCTATACTAGTAGTAAGTATCTCAGGTTAACAGGAATTAGGATATTCAGTATTCTTAAGGTGCTGCTGATTGTCAGCAATAAAATACAGTGGTGGGTCAAAGAGGGACAGTAATGAAGTTATACATTATTTTTGATTTCTTTAGGCTAATCACTTGTGGAAGCACATTTTTCAAGCCCCTTTTATTATTATTTTTTTATTTTTTTTGAGACAGATCCTCAAGCTGTCACCCTGGGTAGAATGCTGTGGTGTCGCAGCTCACAGCAACCTCCAACTCTTGGGCTTAAGCGATTCTCTTGCCTCAGCCTCCCAAGTAGCTGGGACTACAGCCACCCACCACAATGCCCGGCTATATTTTGGTTGTAGTTGTCATTGTTGTTTGGCCCCTGGATTCAAACCTGCCATCTCTGGTGTATGTGGCTGGCGCCTTAGCTGCTTGAGGTACATCCTCAAGCGCCTTTTAAAGAACTATATCAGTAATCAAATGCAATGTAATTTCTGTAAAAATATGGGCATTCTTACAAAGATGATTTATTCATTGTTGTCTTTCTTTCTAAGATCATCAAAATAGAAACTTAAAATGTGCTTCCTGGAAAGAATTCTGTAATTTCATGAAGTGGTCCATTCCTGGCTTTTTTTACTTCCTGGACAACTTGATTGTCTTCTATGTCCTATCCTATCTTCAGCCTGTAAGTAAATATCATTGAAACGATACAGAGAAATGAATCCCAAAAGTAATCTTTTATATTGTTTTCTTTGGCATTGTTAGTTTCTCATTGCCCTCACTGGCCTTCCTGAGATTTGCCCAGAATCAGCTGAACACTGACTGACTTACCGATCTGCTTTCACTGGTAAAGATTACTGTATTGGGCTGACCTGGAGCAGTTGCTTCCTGGTCCAGGGAATCTGAAGCCACCCTTCTTTGTGTAACTTTAGTCTGTCTGCCTGTTTCCTGAGCCATCCTATGGCCACCATCCTCTAATACTAATCTTAGCATCAGGACCTCCAAGCAAATGTTCATGATTATCTCAAATTATACATTCTGTGTCCTTTATCTCTTACATCTATTTTAATGTAGTTTATATGTATTCCATTTGTATTTTTTGTGCTGTTAGTCCCATCCTGTAACCAAGAAGCTCTTTAAGGGTAGGGATTGTGTCCTACCAACTACACATGCCATCTATACCTGATAATTCTAGGAAGACTTCTTATTTCTATCAGCATCGTTTGTTATAATTTCTAAAGCCAGTAGTAATCAGAATTGGAGTTTGGTCTTCTGCTTTTACCCTTTACTCATTTTGGGTCTCATGTATATATCCCTCTAATATTTTATAAAATGAAGATTTCTGTTGCCTGTGTTGTCAAAATGTGTTTTAAAATTCTTTAAAAAGTAAATTCACACATTTGATTATAAATAGAATTTTTATTGGCACTGGTCCTCAATGCGAAGCCTCTTAAATATAACCAAATCAGACTGAGTGGGATGAAAAGAAGTTAATGTAGAACTGTAGTAGAAAACAAGTGGTTGACTCTTTTCCACAATTTAGAAGCCATGTATCTAGGCAGGCCCCAACTGCTCTGAAAGTTTCAGTTGTCTTATATATATAATATAGTAATATACCAGCTCAAAAGCAGAGACCTAGGCAAATTAATCACCTAAATTTCCTTTTAGCTCTGTGATCCATGTTAGTGTGTGCCTAGTTCATCCAGTATGTGTCCTCTCCTTTCTCATTTCCACTTTTTTTTGACCTGAGAATTCCTGAGAATGCACAACATAATTATGCACATTCAATGAATAAATATGTGTTGTATTTTACTTCTATCCAATAGATTAGCTTTAAATGTATACCCTTTTCCCATGTCTCCAGTACAAGATTGCAACTTCCTTTTTCTTCTTCTAGCTGATTGCTTTGCTCTTCCATCCTGATTGTGTACTAGCCCACATCTTTCGAAATAAGTCACATGGTATACTCTTGTGTTTTGCTGTGCCTGAGTCTATTTAAGGAATTGAATAGAGATACATGGAAGACTGGGGCAAAGAACTCTGATGTTTTATGTATTCCATATACTACACGAAGAGAGTTTTCAGAATTCATTGAGAAAGCCAGGCTGCTTGGCTAGGTGTTTCTGCACTGCCCTTAACGTGATTGACCGGAGCCACCACTTTCCCCTCCACTTTCCCCTCCACTTTCCCCACTCTTAACCAACCATTTGCCTCATCTTTTGCTGTTCTCCTCACTAGGGGTTCACAGGCATTTGTCCACAGGCAGGTACACTGAGAAAACTGTAAAATGGTGATTGCCATAAAAGTTAAGTAGAAAACAAATTAATATTTCCAGAATTGTTGCAAGTTTTTATTGGGTTTACTCTTATTTCTTTAATTTAGCTGTATATTAGCTAAATGTGGTTGCTGTTATTAGTGGGTACATGTGACTATTAATACTCTCTGAGGTTTAATCAAGTTAATGTGACAGGAGGGCACAGTGAACTAAATCATAAGATTTGTGTAAAAAATAACTTTAATATGTACCCAGCTATGATTTAATTAAAAATAAATAAAATTAAAAAATAAAAATGACATACTACAGTCTCAAGCTGTTGCCCTGGGTAGAGTGCTGTGGCATTATAGCTCACAGCAACCTCCAGCTCTTGGGCTCAAGTGATTCTCTTGCCTCAGTTTTTCTATTTTTTTTTTTTTTAGACAAGATGGGGTCTTGCTTTTGCTCAGGCTGGTCTTGAACTCCTGAGCTCAAGCTATCCACCCACCTCTGCCTCCCAGAGTATTAGGATTACAGGCTAGAGCCACTGTGTCCTATCAGAGCCAATTATGAGGAATAATGATGGAATTTCATACTTTCTGAGCAAAATTTTCAGTACTCTCATATTTTGTGTTTCAGTACTCTCTATTATGTGTTATTTAACACAATTAGAAAAACTGTTTTCAGTACAAAAACTGTTATAAAATCTGGCTAACACAATTCTAAGTGTTTAGAACAATTTCAGTTCAAAAGATTGTCAAATATACATTTGGTATTGAGTCATCACGGTTCATCCAGGAAAATTGTTGCAGTTCCTAGAATGGTGAAGATGCTTAAAAAAATCTGTGTTTCAGTTTTCTTATGTAAATGGTCCTAACTGTATTGGCCTTCTGTGTACCCATAGAAACGTATTATAAGTCTGTAAAGCACTTCAAAAACTTACAAAAGTATGCTTCACAAGCATGGTAACTGTCACTTCTAGACCTAAACTTCTAAAATTTATAACTATTTCCATATCTTCACATACAGATTAGTTACATAGGCATTTTCTGAATTTAAACACATATTTCCAAAACCTGGGCAATAATTTGATTATATCTGCATAAATCTAACAAGCAATGAAAACAGAATTTAATCCTCTAGTGAAATAGCTGCCCTAATAACCCCTCTGGGTTTTGACCAGAATGCTTTTTTTGTCAGGTAAACCGCAAACTGGGAGATTTCTGAGGTCAGTACTTTGTTTGGATTGTAACTCTATCTTCTCTTTCTTTCTAGGCCATGGCTGTTATCTTCTCAAATTTTAGCATTATAACAACAGCTCTTCTATTCAGGATAGTGTTGAAGTAAGTAACTTGTTATGAAAGCATATATCATACTTTATAACAGCACAGCCAGGTTTCAGGTGATATACCCAGAGCAGTAACCCCTCAGAATCCCAAGGCCAGGATTTTGTTCCTAATTGGCTTTGTGTATTGGGCATGTTGTTTTACCCATCTGGAAAGCAGCTCCAGTGCTAGCCTGTTTAAATCCTCTGCAAATAGATGTGTAAAGTGTCTTGAACATCTCAAAAATAAAATAATTAACTGGGTTATAATTAGTATTTTTATTTTTAGTGCCATATTTTCTAAAAAGAATTCATGAGCTTTTTATATAAAATCTTTCTATACTAATAAAGAACAAAGAGGTTCCTAAGATTGTTAATACTTGGGAATATGGAATTTGGAGGTAATAAAGAGTGGCAAATTCTTTATTCTGTATTCTTTACTTGAGATGAGTATATGATTTAAGCTAAACTAGAAGAAGATTTCTCTGAGGAATCTATTGAGGATTATAGTTAATAAGAATGATAGATTTTTAAATTTTAAAAAATGGTGTCACTAATTTTTACTGTCTTCAGGAGGACCACTGAATAGTATAAACATTTTTAAGTAACAAGGCTGTGCTGCAAAGCAGAGATCAAAGATACTTATCTAGGTACTTAATTCTAATTTAATTTAATGATAATAAATAAAATTTACTTTTTGTTATATTTGTTGTGGTTGTTTTTTTTATTTTACATTCTCTTCACTCTTTTTGATTTTTTGGTTCTCAGTGGGCTATGTGATAGTGTATTCTTTCATAATTTATGTGTACAAAAGGATAACTGGCTGGCAACAGGTACTCTAAACACAGGGTCCCCCAAAATGTATATACATTTTAAGAAAGAAAAAAAACTGTATTAAAGTTATAATACTCAGGTCACGTTTGATTTCTGCAATTATAAGAGGTGCTCAACATGACTTTTGTTACTTGTATATATTGAATTTTACAATTTTCATGCAGTTTTTTCCTTTCTTAAAATGTATATACATTTTTTGGGCACCCTCTATATTTGTTGAATCCATGATGCACTTAATACGTAAATCGTATGAAATTCCTGAAGCAATTTCTTTTACCCTACAAAAACATTCACTTTGTCATTTAATGTGAGAGATGAAAAAAAAATCAATGTTACATTTTGTCCAGTTTAAGTGTTAGAATATATTGAAATTTGTTTTATGTATCACATTCATTTTACTTGTGAATTGCGAAAATAGTTCTTTAGCAAGTTAATGCTATCCTAAAAACATTTTGAAGTCTTTGGAATCAACATGAAACTCACTTTGTAGGCTTCAAAAATTGACTTGAGAAAATGTATGTAAGCCATAATATTTTTATATTCATTCCTGGGATAAAATTGGAGATGCACATCCATGAAGAAAAAAAAATTAGCTCTGGCATGTAATAAAGGATTCACTATGTAACAGAGAGTAAAGGTCTTAAATATACGGTTTTTTAAAGTAAAAAATATTTTTCCTAAAATGGCAGTTCATGTGTATATATAGTATTATACTTGTTATTATATAGTATGCAAGTATTAGGTCAAAATTCTATCAATTTAAAACAGAATTTACCAGAAAGAACATAAAAATTATGGATTGCCTGACCCCAAATTGGTAGTTAGCTTTAGTTCTGCCCTAAAGTAAATATCTTCTGCTAAATTTGTATTTGTATTAAGCAAGTTAATTAGAACCAAATTCAAATGTGTTTATACTGTAAATTTTTAAAGTGTTTATTTTGAATGCCATTGATTACAATAATTACATTTTGCTAATTTTAATAGTAATTAACATTGGTATGAGTTAAAGTTCAAGAAATTTTTTGTTCATACTTTACCCCTTTTATTGTTAGGCATGTGTTTGCTTTATTAACATGTCTGTTTTGAATCTTTCGAAGTATTTATTTTGAAGAATAATAAAACCATAAACATTACATTCTTACTATTTTCACAAGTGCTAATGTAGCCCCCTGAGTGGGTCTTAATTTAACTGATTAAAAAAAATAGCACTGACTTTACTCTAAATAGAGCTGAAATAATGTGCTAATAAATCTAATGCTGTCTTTTATGAGGATGCCTTTTAAGTATTTTTTTAATTACATTTTCAACTCCTTTTTTCTAATTGTGTTAAAAAACACATAATAGAGGCTGGGTGCTGTGGCTCACGCTTGTAATCCTCACACTCTTGGGAGGCCCAGGTGGGTGGATTGCCCTGAGCTCACTGGTTTGAGACTAGCCTGAGCCAGGGCGAGACCCCGTCTCTAAAAATATCTGGGTGTTGTGGCGGGCACCTGTAGTTCCAGCTACTTGGGAGGCTGAGGCAAGAGAATCACTTGAGCCCAAGAGTTGAAAGTTGCTATGAGCTATGATGCCACGGCACTACTGAGGGTGACAAAGTGAGACCCTGTGTCAAAAAAACCACATAAGGTAACATTTATAGTCTTAACCATTTTTAATATACAGTTCATTAATGTTATTATTTACATTGTTGTGAAACAGATCTTGAACTTTTTCATCTTGCAAATTTGAAACTCTAATCCTATTAAATAACTTCCTTTCCCCTATCTTCTCAACCCCTTAGAACCACCTACTTTCTGTTTCTGTGAACTTAACTACTTTAGATACCTCCTGTGAGTGGAGTCATACAATTTGTCTTTCTGTTACAGGCTTATTTCACTTAGCACATTGTCCTCAAGGTTCATCCATGTTGTAACATATGGCAGGATTTCCTTTTTTAAAGTTGAGTAATAGTCCATTGGTGTATGTACCTCTATTATTACATTTTAAAATGAACTTAACCTTGTTCTATTTTGGTCTTTTAATTGTTGGTATTATGTGTCGTTTTTCCCTGTCTAATTTACTCTTTGTGAATTATTTGAATACTTTTTTGCCCTAGGTGATGTAATAGCAGTGTAAGAATTCTATTACATATTCTTTATCATAAATAACTCATTTTTCATTTAGAATACTAATGGTGTTGTCTTACACTTGATTTGAGCAGAGCCATTAAATACCTTTTTCATATAGGTAAAGAATATAAGGCAATAAATAAAAATAGGAAAAATAACTCCAGTGACTAAGGATTACTTGGAAAAATTCAAAAGTGGGAAAAAGAAATATATTACCATCTAATTGTATTGTCTTTTTTAAAGAAATCCTTTGTCAAAATAGATTTTTCCTTTGAAGTATAGCCACTGGTTCAAAGTGGAAACTGATGGAAGGCAGGCCTTATGCCTCACATCCTGCCTCACAGATTTGCTCTTAAGCTTTAGTAAAGTTGTATAGTCTTGTTTGCTTTGGCTTTGGGAAATAATATTAACTTCAACATTGAGATTTTGGGGCAAAAGATGACCAAGACCAGCATTTATTTTTACCTAAAGAATTTCTCTGGTCTCTTCAAAGAGAAACTATAGGAAAAAATTATTAAACACATTTTGAAATATGCATGATAGATGCTTGGAACTTACAGTAAAGTTTAGTTATTGTCTGTACTAGTGGAAAAATAAAGAAAAATACCACTCAGAAGTACAAGCATTTTTCCAAAATCATTCATTCACTTGGTAAATCTATTTTTTTTCTTTTGAGACAGAGTCTCACCATGTTGCTCTCAGTAGAGTACTGTGGTGCCACAGCTCACAGCAACCTCAAACTCTTGGGCTTAAGTGATTCTTTGCCCTCAGCCTCCAAGTAGCTGGGACAACAGGCACCTGCCACAATGCCTGGCTATTTTTCGTTGCAGTTTCATCGTTTGTTTAGCTGGCCCACGCCAGGTTTGAACCCGCCACCTTTGGTGTATGTGGCTGGTGCCATAACCACTATGCTACAGATGCCAAGCCCACTTGGTAAATCTTAATGATCTCTAATCATAAGCCTTTTTCTGACACACTCTGCTACTAAAAAAATGTGTTTTGTGTCTCTACTGTAGTTTAGTACCACCAAATATGGCAGAAATATGGTAGAAGTACTCTTACATAGTAATTTGAAACTGTTTAGTGACTAAGAAAACTTATAGTGAGAAATTATATATATGTATACTACATAGTATCTGAACTATTTTAAATTAAAATATATAAATATATTTATTCATCATTCTTTTGATGCTGAACTAAGACATTTGAACGTGTATGGGGTTTACTGGTTGGAATTCTTCAGCTTCTTTCTTGCATGAAGCCACAGTCATTATACATTATCCATGATTGCTTTTATCATTTATCCTAAGAGGCATGAAGTCTTTGAAAATACTTTTAGAATAAAACTCTTCTATATTTTTATTGTTCATTCCCTAATCTTTTACAATTAACTCACCTATATGTAATTCAAAGGCAGCTTTTTATCTTCTGAGTGGTTTGCCTTCAACTGTCTTTCCAAAGTTTTCAACTTAGTTTTTGTCAAAACAGCAGTCTTTTTCTTTTACTCATACTTTATCTTTTTTCTTTTTTTTTAAGTTTTTTTTTTTTTTTTTTT